AACCTTTTCATGCTTTAAAAACTGCTGTGAAACACGGTTTATAGTATATACAAAATATGATTACTGACAAAAAATATTAAGGTGGCAAAATTAAGACGAAACAAGCTATAAAATTTGCTTCGTGCATGGTCCGGTTCAACGAACATAACGCAGGTACGGTGTATAGTCACCATAAATGCGGTCTACCGACTGTTTTATTGCGCCGTTTTACGAGGGGGTAATTGCCAACGGGGCCTACCTAACAATGTTTTGTGACCAATGAACGCTTTTAACGCCAAGTCGATGACATGTTATTTTAGTAGATAAAGTACAAGACTCGCCACTCACTCTCTTTTGTTCGGAAGCACCTCCTCATGCGCATTCCTTGTTACGCTTCATGTTTATTTATGTCGCATTCTACCATGGTGTTTAACAATTTTTCACAACTAAAGGCATCTAGTACTAAAGTAGGAAAGAAATATTACATTCCCAGCACTAAACCTGAGTTACAAACTAAATGTCAAATTGTTTATTCAAATTAATCTATAGCTCCATGATTCCAATGATATTTAGAGTTGACATAAACGCAGACTTCCCGGGGCTTTCGTTATTAACTTTTCGATTCAACCAATGTAATAAATGGCAAGAGTTGAAGATTAAATTAAAAGCTATAAAATCCGTAAAATAATAGTTTTTCTGCGTTCTGCTGTTCTTGTATCTTGTATCTTGTATTAACTGATGTTTGTGCTTTCAGTCCAGAGACTATTAAAGCTTCATCTGACGCAGAACCGGTGGGCTAGCCAGAACCCACGGGTTTGGGCCCTCCGCTGTGGGTAGGGCCGCGCATGTGCTCATGCGTGCGTTTAACTACGGCATGTCATCTAAGGGCCATCGAAGTAGCGGTGCGGCCCGAGACCCCGATGGCCGTCGACTGTGTTTTTAGCTAATCGGTGGCTGGGGGAGGTGAGAACCGCCCTGGAACGCGGGTGTACCTTGCGTACGCGTTGTGTTGGTCTCGCCGTGCTCGGAGGCGAGGGCGAACTAATGTGTTTGTTGCTACACTAACTGTGTGTAGTGTTATCCGGCGGGACTCCCGACGGTGGGTCCGACGTACCTAAGTCCCCTTCCTCGACCGGGTCGATGAGGACGTTTCGCGGGCGACGCTTGTTGACGCTCGCGTTTAGATCGGGTTGGTAATTTGCTGCGCTTACCACCAGAGGGTTGGGATGATGTTCGGCTCTATCGAAGAACCGTTTGGTCAGGTCTTTGAAAAATTCGCGAATCATCGGGAGTCTGCAATCACTGTGCAGGTCGACGTTGCGTTGATACCACTGCGCACCGGTTGCGCGGCGGATGAACTTATTTTGCACTACTTGCAACTTGTGCAAGCGATTAGGGTGCGTGTGGGCGAAAATCATGCATGCGTAGGACATGATTGGCCGTACGCAAGCTTTGTATAAAAGTAATTTGTGTCTTAAGGACATTTTACTTGACTGGTTAGTTAAAGTGCTTAGCCGGCCGGAGACGAACGCGGCTCTGTTACGGACGTTATTAATATGCGATGTGAATGACATACGCGAGTCGAAAGTGACTCCTAAATATTTTAGCCTTGTGGAACGCCAGCCGTGAGGCGGCGGCTTGTGGAGAGGGCACCTTCAACTCGATATCGAAAGGAACGATTCGACAAGAAGGCCTGAATGGTGTGTACAAGCCTGTCTGGCACTTTGAGTGAGAACAGCTTGTAAATCAAGCCGTTGTGCCAGACTTTGTCGAATGCCTTTGCGACATCGAAGAAAAGAGCCCCCGTGCTAATATGTTTAGGGTGATTTAGGCCTTTTAGGATATGTTCCGTTAGGCGGTATAATTGATCGGGACAGGAATGTCTTGCTCGAAAGCCGAATTGTTCCGCCGGCAGAAGGCCGTTGGAAAACACGTGGTCTTTGAGCCTGTTTAATAGAAGCCGCTCGTAAAGCTTCCCCAGGCAACTGAGGAGGCTGATGGGACGATAACTAGAGGGCTGATTGGCTGGTTTATTCGGCTTGCGAATGCCGATAACCGTGGCTTCTTTCCAGTCGTCCGGAAAGGAACAACTGGAGAGTAAAGTGTTGTAAATGGTCGCCAGTAAACAGATAAGTGGGCCCGGGGCGGATTTGGGTTTTAAATTTTTGATAATATCTTGGACCTCTTCGGGGGTCACTGAGTTTAATGGATCGCCTTCCGGTGGAAGCGCAGCCCTAGTTTCGATAACGCGGTCCACCTCCGTTAGGTGGGCTGTGTCGATGTGTTCGCGCGATGGCGTACATTGCTGCTCTAGGTTGTCCGCAAGGCATTCGGCTTTTTCGGAGTCATCTAGGGCTAATGAAGTGCTATTAGGCATTGCTAACGGCGGTAGGGATTCGCGGGGCTCTGCTTTCAGACTGCGGGCCAAACGCCAGTAGGCGGTGTGCGATGGCTCGATATCCTCTAGTAGAGTGTCCCACTAGGTATGTCGGTGTTCCGATACGCGATCTTTAACTTCTAGCTGAAGGCGTCGAAGTAGGGTTCGGTTCGATTCTGATCGGTATCGGTCGAAAGCTCGTTTGGCTGCATTTTTTTGTCTAATTAGGAGTCTTAGGCCGGGTGGAAAGTTAAACCGTCGGTCGCCCGACAGTTTCACTGTTCGTTCCGAATCTGCAACTGCGGAAGTGATAGATGCGCGAAGACTTGCTATCGCTCGATTTGCGTCATCGAACGTAGCTATCGTCTCGGGTAGGTTGGCGATGTGCTGGGGGTCCAAGGCCTTGAGTTTGACCTCAAGGCGATGCCAGTCCACTACGGTTTTGGTCGGAGGGACCGCGCCGGCGTTCTGGCCCAGTTTACACAGGACCGGCCTGTGGTCTGATTCTAATTCTTGGATTGTCTCTATCGACGCGATGTCGAGGGAGACCTCCTTGAACAACATGATATCAAGAATACTTGGTGTCGAATGCTGGTAATCGTCCACCGTAGAATATCTTGTGGGAGTCACAGGAGCGATTATGCTGTAATTTAAATCGTCAGATAAGTTAAAGAGCTGCCTACCGTTGTTGTTAGCGTAAGTTTGGGGGCCCCATGAGCCGTGTTTGCAGTTTAGATCTCCTGCAATTATCACGGAAGGGCCTAAGTTAAGTAGCGTTTCTAAATCGCTTTGTAGAAGAGTTTTATTCCCCGAGAGGTAGGCTGAAACTAGTACAAGCGGCCTTTGGTCGGTGAGCGCTAACCTACACGCGGATGCCTCTATATGTCTTAGCTCTGGGATATCGAGCGGGCTACAGTGCAAGGACCGTTTATAATATATTAAGGTACCTCCCAGACGGTTTGCTAACCGGTCGTGGCGGACTATATTATAATTTGCGATTTTTGGATCGCGTCTGCTAGCTGCAGATGTTTGCCATTTGGGCAAACGGGTCGTCTTGGTTCGCGGAAACGACCGGTGTAATAAAATGCACCTGCGGCCTCGGTGCTTGTTGTTTGACAGGCTGCGGTTGGAATGTCGTCGGTCGTGAGGCGACCGGAGGCGCGACTACCTGCGCGACTGCCTGAGGTTTGTACGCGGGCGCGACTGTTTGCGGGCGCGGGAATGTACTTCGCCGGCGCGGATTTCGGGGCCGCGATTTTCGCGAGCGTAATTTTTGCGGGTGCTTTCCTCGCGGGGGTTTTTGGAGCTTTAGCGCAGCCCCTGTAGCTAGCCGGGTGGCCGGTAGTCAAACAATTTACGCAGTCCGGTGGATCTGCGCAATCTTTAGGACGCGTGCAATCTGTCGTGCCGTGGTCACCGGTGCATTTGACGCACCTTGGGTGAGCAAAACAGTTGCGGGCTGTGTGGCCATAGTGTTGGCAGTTATGACACTGCGCAACAACGCCTGACTTCCGTGGAGGCTCAACAACGAGTTCAACAATTAAAAATTGCCTTACCTTCCGGGGTAGGGTCCAACTCCACCATTACAATGTCCATCGGGACACGGGTTCTGGGGTGACGTAGGCGACGAACGGCGTGCACCGGGTATCCCTGAGTGCGGATGTCGATTTTTACATTTTCGACATCCAACTCTTTCGGGATTCCCTTTATGACTACCCGAAGTTTGCGTTCTTCGCGGCAGCGAGTAGGTATGGAAACCTACTTTGTTTTCGTGTAAATATTTAGTGACGCGGCGGAAGTCATCGATGCTATCGAGGTATACACGGATACCTTGATGGGTGTTCTTCGACCGGGGGTCTCGAATATTGTGGCGTTCGAACCACACGCAAATTTGATGCCATTTAGCTTTCTCCTGGATGATGATAGGCGGAGGAGGCTTGGCTTTTCTTTCGGCGGCGTATTCGGGTACCGGTTGGACTGCCGCGGCCGCCTTTTTGGCGGGCGTCGCAGTGGATCTATTAATTGAGGTGGCGGCCTCGCTTTCGGGGTCGCTATCTACGGCGGGGCGTTTCTTGCCCTTCTTTTTTCGTCCAGTGACGACGGTGAAGCCGTCGTCATTGGGTTTACCGGCGGGAGTTAAATCTACCTCCATATCCGATCCGCCGTCCGAGTATAAGTCGAGTACGACGGTGCACAAGGAGGCCGGGGTGGCTTGCGAGGAAGGCGTGACGGGCGTGTTCGCAGCGGCGGATGTCGACGCGACGGGCGCTTCTTGCGTCGCGGAAGGCAACGGGGTTACGGGCGCAGAGGGCGCCGGAGATGGCGGCGATGCGATTGCCGGTGAAGGCGGGCTGTCGTTGGCGTATTCAACGACTAATCGTTGTTCGGATTCGAACGCTAGGTAGCTTTCCCAAATGTCGGGACAGCGTTGTCGGAAGAACTCCTCGAAAAGGGAGCTCATCGTAACGTATGTGCCTTTGGGGCTTAGGCCCCGCCGGCGTGTGTAAGCTTAATAAGCCTCCCCACCTTGCGGCAGGGAGGAGTGTGCCTAAAAATAACACTTAATTCGCCTGCGCTTTAGGTGCGCTAGGGTGAGTACCTAGCTGTCGCCCAATGCAACAAGCACACAGTTAAAAATTAGGCAATGCCGCCTCTGAGGCGAGAAATGTGTGTAGAATTCTACTTACGGACAGGAACCTGCCTACGAGCACAACACTACACTAACACTAAACTATTGCACTACTTGCACAAATATTTAAATTGCAACCAAAGTTGCGAGTAGCGTCTAATTCGGGTGGCATGTGCCCTCCGTCTTAGAGAGACGTCCGTTCCGTACGAGAGCACGAAGCGGAATGTCTGCTGTTCAGACATTTATTTAGGGAATAAATAGGTCGCGATACGAAATGATAAAAATAAATGGAAATTATAATTATATATTCATAAAATATTTTTACATGAAAATTTTTCTTGAATAGTCCCATATATATATATATATATGTAATTATCAGGACAATTCACACCAGCTTCGGAATTTTATTTTTGCCAAAGTACAATGAATTGTGATCGGAGCGGATTTTGTAAGAAAAGGATTATTATTACAATTTGTAGTATTTCCTTATCTAAATATTTTTCTATACTTTTTTTATGTTACTCTTATATCTAGTTCTAGTTTTATATAGTTATATTACGTGTACAAGGTTTTGAGGTATTCATATACCTGTTTATAAATCTAAAAATGTCTAACTATTTAAATGTATAATAATAATGTATATACTTGAACCATTCCAAAAATTAATTGCGCAAGGTTCCTGATAATAAGATGCGTTCATTAAATTAAAGAAGCGATCATCTGAACTGAAACTAATAGTTCATTCTTTAAGCATAATACAGCCAATAAGAGCAGTTGAGGCCGCTCGGTACGTCCGCAGGCAATTTTAATTGCTTCGTCATTCGTTCCCAATAACTTTGATCCGTTATGAACGCGCCGTAACCGACCACCGCAATCAATGCGGACACCGCGCTAATTAAGAGTTAATGATAGCTGACAGTACCCAAATATCACAATTACGACGGGCTGATAATTACAGTTTTTATTTTCTTAACTAAAAAGAAACGTACAACAGATTAGTCTGACAGAACAATAAAAAACTGAAGAAGATAAAAAAAAAACCGGCCAGGTGCGAGTGGGGGTCGCGCACGAAGGGTTCCATACCATAATGTATAATAAAGTAGTTGAGTTGTAATTGCTAGTCAACCTATAGGTAAGTACCTATAGGTTGACTAGCAATCACCTCGCATTTGTTGTATGGGAGCCCCGTTAAATATTTTTTATTTCATTCTGTTTATTAGTCTTTGTTTTATAGTGGCAACAGAAATACATCATCTGTGAAAATTTCAACAGTCTATTATGGTTCATGAGATACAGCCTGGTGACATACGGACAGACAGACTGACAGCGGAGTCTTAGTAATAGGTTTCCGTTTTACCTTTTGAGCACGGAACCCTAAAAAAGGCCACTGGCGAGTAGAAAAACTGCCTGTGGATTCTATTCGGCAGAGGGCTGAAGATATGTTACCACCTTCAAAATGTGCACCTCCGGTTTTCCCACTTACAATAGTTTTCCTTTCTCCGTAATTGATTTAAATGATCCCTGTACTCGGATTTTAAGTCGGATTTAAGACGCATATCGATGTAAAAGCCGCCACGCATCGCCGTGTGATATTACAGAGTCAACAAAGTCTGTCAATAAATAAATCGCATCGCAACTGATCATTTGATTAAATAACGCGTGACTTCAACTGTTTATCGTTGAGAAAAACATGCATATATATCTATCAGTTCATCTAGATCGGGCTTCGGTTTTCTATGTTTCGCTGCGAAGAGGCGCGCGTGTGGTTCGGCATGCCCGACCGTGACGGATTCAGTTTGCCCATTGTCCGGTAGCCAACGATTCGTAACGGCCCCGAAAGGGATCGCAATCAACAAACGCCCAACGTTATTTGTGGTGAGTACCACGACCTCACGGAAGACCAGCGTAAAGTAGAAGTGTTACACTTCTTTCGTCTGGTGAGTGAGGTAGCCGGGGCCCACTTAATTTAAAGGTGCCGCCTTTTGCAATCCTACGGGTCTTGCAAATGTCCATGGGCGGCGGTTATCACTAAACATCAGGTAAACCGGCAGCTAGTTTACCACTTTGTCACATAAAAAAAAATGGCAAACAAGCAGGCGCTGCACCTAATAGCACCTAAAACCTAATGTGCGGCATTTCCATTCTGGTTACTTCAACGACAATAATGCAAGGCACCAACATTTCAACTTTATGCCGTTCTTCTGCAACGTTAATTTCCATTTTGGATGCTTAAGCCACCGCCGGGACAGTATTGCTATTAGAAATGAATACTACATAATATTTATATAGTAAATAATTTGTGAAATCCTTTCTTTCTATTCCAAGGTAAAGGCAAAAACATCTTTACACTTTAACAAGAATATAAGGTCGATGACAAACTATTGGGTATAGTTGTGTAATTAGCAAGTACATAATTGATTGATAAGATAGTTGTGTGACGGAGTGGATTGAAATATAAATTTGTTATAAGTTTCAGAAGGGAACAGTAGGTTACGTTCTATCCCAGTGCTCATAGTCCAGTGGCCATAGATTCTTGTAAAAAAAGTCAGGAATAAAATAACACACGCAATCTTATAATCGAACTTTATAGCATGCTAAGTGGTACGTACTATATAAACGACCTAAGATTCATCGGTCGTTAATTAATCGCTAAATTTAAATCGAGAGTTTAGCGCGAGGCAATTAACTTGCATACTTTTCGTTCGCTAGACGGCGATATAGTCTTTTAATTATCGAATACCGCATTGTATACGAGTTAACCGACCGCCGCGGCGTCTCGGGCGTGTTAACCGCGCAATCTATCGGTGGCATCGATTCAATTAGCCGTAGAACAATGAAGCCGCCTCGGGAATCCATCGCGGGCCGCTCACCCGTGACCCGACATCCGAGTTCCAACAAAGGCTCTTTATGACGTCGATCACAATAGATTTGAATAATAACATTTCACGGTTAGCGTTTTTCACGCCCCGTGGAGGAAAGTAACGTGTAATTAGCAAGTACGTAATTGTTTTTTATACAGTGGTTATTTACGAGTTACGAAGGAAGTAATTGCAGACGTGCCTACTGCGTATTTAGTGCGACAACAATATTAGATATTTTGTGACAATATTTCGACTAGAGAAAATAATGTTTACTGAATGAAGATCAAGGTACGGTTGTTAGGTTTTAATGACACGAATCCAATATGGAATAATTCGTGTATGTATACGTGAATAGAATAATATTTAATTGCTTATAAAATTATTAGACTAATAACCTTTAATGACTTATTTTTCAGCTAAAACGAAAACAAGATAAATCTGAATTTTAAAGTTTTTTATAGTGCTAATCTCTGCACTTAAGATTGATTGATTGATTGATTTTCTACATGTTTTAAAGTTTTAAAGATAAATCTGGTTAATCAAAAAGACACAGATTCTATTAGTACCCCGATTATGTACGAGTACATTACCTAAATAGATGTTACTTTATTGTTAATATTATTCTCGACTCAATATATTTTTCTTCAAGATTTAATTATAGTGAATTAAATAATAACAACTTTTATATAGTCACAACGACAAAGGTTAATTGCAAAGAGCGCTGTACAATAAAAGTCAATTATTCTGTCACACTTCAAAGATAAAATAAATTAAAATATTACATGTTTCATTGATATCGGACGACACAATTTGATTAATTGCCAACTAATAATTACAGGAATGCAATTAAAGCGCGCGGAGATAGCGAACGCATCATTAATTAAACGTCAACTTGACCTATTAGGCTGAAAATAAAATATTGTTTACAAAAGAAATAATACGGACCGACTAAGGGCGTAGTCGTGTCGCCTCAAAAAAAAAAGGTTGCAAACATTAACGAACGCAATACTTTATCGTAGAGAAACTTAACATTTCAATTAAGGCCGCGATTAAGAAATTAAAGTAATGACTGCTTGAACACGGGACCGACGATTAAGAGCCGATGCGTGGATTTACGACACAAAGAGGCACAGTAATTGCAAGCGTTCAGGGGAAACTGCCGCGCCCTCAAGCCCGAATTTAACCAAGGAACATTTGTTAGGAAATACCTCTATGATAGAGTTTCAAAATCAGTAAGGGATATGGTGACTTGTAAGCTTTGCCGCGTCAACTGTCTATTTCAAATTCTAAACTCTACCTTGATCATTCGATTTAAAAAAATAAGTAAACAGTGTTACGGCAATATTGTAGTGTTATGTGTTAATGTTTGAACTAATTGATATATTAGGGTTAGGAATGGATTATCCAAAGTCACTGGTTTTACAATTTAGCACGTTTATTCACTTTAATCACTTATTATTTAAATCTTTGTATAGAGCACTTAGTCAACTGTCGATGCCTGGGCGGAAGAGAGTGAATGAATGAAAAGAACATATTTATTATGAGATGAATGAATGAATCAATAATAAACATTATGCATAAAAGTTTATTTATTATATTGGTTAGTCAAAATAATTAAATATCACAGTGTTTAATTAGTTATGTGGCAATAATTAATCAGATAATAATGTAACGGTGTCTTATCTTCTTGTTGTTTATGAGTACGATATGATATGCAAGGGACCTTTTATAGTGATCACCAATTAAACAAGCAACGCAATTATAAAGAAGAAGATGGTGATTTGATACTACGATTATATTTTATTCTACTTAGCTATTTTTCACTTATACCACCAAAGAAATATTATTCGTCAATATGTAACTGACCTTCAAGTGGTTAGAATAATTGGCCCTAATAATGTCAATAATCTTTTGTCCATACAATGAGCTGGTAACCAAATTAGTAGCGCGGATTTTATTGTCATTGTAATTTCTCGAACTTTTCTCCTGTGGCCCTAATTTTAGATTTTAGTATTGGTAGTACTATCAGAAAGACTAAGGCATTTGACTATTGTCATACGAGTAAATGTGTAAATAATTATGTATTTACATAGTTTAATAGTTAATTTCCTAAAATTTTTAACAGGGACTGACTAAATAAATTAAGGTAGAAGGGCTATTTTATTTCATTCATGTAGCATCTAAATATAAAACAAATAAAAAAGTCCCAATATTTCATATACAGCAGATTACCAGCGCCGATCTAAAGAGCTTATCGAAGCGACTTATTAAATTGACAGTAACATGGGCTACTTATACGGCGGGCGCGGTTAGTTATTGTCCAAGGTTGGCATCGAGCCTACTCTCCATACGCATCTGTAATTGGAGGGCTAGCTCTGTATACGGTTATTCGCCAAAAACGCAAGCAAAAACTGGCCAGAGACGCCCGCCGGCCTGGCCATATGAGATGACAGCGCGCTCGCGTCGCCAACAAAGAATGATACGATAAATAATTACGCCCATTGATCGGTGCTCATTAAAATGAACCAATGGACGTTGTCGGCGTATGGTAGCGCAAGGAGAGCGCTCGGTAGGCGCAATTTGCTCCGGCGCCGCCGCCTGCCCTTTTCTTATTGATACAATTCGGGCCGGCCACTGCCGAATTCAATTAGACGGCCCCGTTACTCCTGAGAATTTTTCAATTGGATTGTGCGTATGTGAAAGGGTATGCGCTCTGAAACGATTGTTATCGATTTTTAACTATCACATATATCGACTGCAAGTTCTGCTAGCGAACTTATGCGCTTGATAAGTTATGTAGAGCAAACGTCGCGATGTGTGCTTTTTGGTTGGTATGCGTTGAAGTCTTTTGTATTGAAGAAATTATTCTTTATGGTAACATGTGGAATCAATTATAATAAACTTTCTTTAAAAGAAATTCAAAAAGAACACGATTTTTTATTTCATTTAAATATTTTGAATTTATTCTTCTTTTAGCGCTTAAACCGTTATCAATTGCATTTAATGTCTTTTTCACAAACAAAGAGTACTTGGCACAGGGAATAAAATTTGCGTGCGTACACACATTTCATTGGTCAACCACATTGACTTCAATAAATTACATAAATAATAAAACTTTTCATGCATTAATTTTTTGTTTTAATTTTCTTTTAACTCCTTATATTACATACAACTCTTTTCGCGACTCTTGTATAAGCCATAATATTGTCAAAAAACCATTTATAAAATTACATTAGTCCGATAGTTATGTTAAATCTGAAGCAGGATACATCCGTTAAGTCCTTGTCAGACCAGCAGTACTTCCACGTGCGCAGTGCTCATCTGTCATACATGACCTGCAAATTGGACGTCGAAAAACACGACGGACCACGCCTGAATAAAATTGTGCCTTAATGAGACGAGTCCGAAGACCTGATCGACGCCTTCGCATTTTTTGCAGAGCACCGACGACACTTCCTGTTTACTCGAAACTGACGTTCCCCATCGCGGAGTTTGTCACTCCGTATAATTGCAACAGACATACGAGAATGCAAATAATGTGTTTATATTCTGGAAATCATACCAATTGTGTGAATTATGCGTGTCTGTTACCTTTTGGTTGTCTATACATTTAAGACAGTAAAAGTATCAAGGGTAAGTAACTAGCTTAATTCTATGGAAATACCAATTTTAACAATTTTAATTTCATTTCAGATGTATATGTTATTAATACATGACTCCGTGGCGCTGTTGACAAGGTATTGGCTTCGGCTTTGGGGGTCGTGGGTTCGATTCCTACACGAGATATCTATTTTTGTGACCTACAGATAATTGTTTCCAACCTGGGTGTTTGTCCACGTGAAATTTATGTATGTAAAAAATCCTTACAGCTCGGGATAGTGTTATCCTATGGAAAGGGGCAATCGTTTCGAAGGGAAGATCACAATAGATCTTCTTGGTCTCATGATCGTTCGGACACATAATCCAATCCCTGTCACACAATGTACAAATAAATACAATGGTTATTATTACCATTCTCGTATTAAAAAACTTCGAAATTGGGCAAACACGTGTCTTTAGATTTCTAATTAATCGTCCTCGCACATTAAATAATACCCATCACATAAATACTATATCATATACCTAAGAAATAAGGTTCAGAAAAGATTCTACTGACAAGCTGTGAGCTTTTCCATATCTAATGTAAGTAGTAAAACTTCCAACCCTTCTTTCAAGATCTCGGCTTCGGTAAAATAGTTTCTTTTTAAATTATTTTTTTAATCTTTATTTCATGTGAGAACATGGTAAGCGAGCTGGCGGTTCACCAAAATGTTAGGTGATAACCGCCGCCTATGGAAATTTGCAACAATCGTGGGGTTGCACCTTTGAGATGAGTTGCACCTTTTAATAAAGTGGAGTAGGGCCCACCAGACGAAACGTGAAGTGTAACACATCCACTTCACGTCGGTCTTCTGTGAGGTCGCGGTTCTTCCCTGGACGGCGAGGCCCTACCACAGTAAAAAATCTCGTTGTTGTTTTTTTGCACTCAATCCACTGGATCCTATCTTTATTTTCAAATAAAATTATGTTTATCACTTACCTTTTTTATGTGAGAAAGTGACAATCGATGTGGCGGTTCACCAGATGTTAAGTGATAACCGCCGCCCATGAACAGTTCAACACCCGTACGGTTGCAAATTCGTTGTCACCTTTTGATAAAGTGGGCCTCGGCTACCTCACTCACCAGACGAAACGCAGAAGTGTAACACTTCTACTTTAAGCCGGTCTTCTGTAAGGTCGTGTTACCCGGACGGACCTGCCCATACTTGTAACAGTGAAACCTAGTAACCATAGTGCAAGCTTTGCTTAGCACCATAGCAAAAAGCGACATTCGAAAGGCGCAACCAGCACCACTGCATCTGGACACGGACCGGGCCAATCGTTCGCAATTAGACATTCTCACCACCTCGCCGAAACAGAAACCGATCACGTCCTTACTGGTGGCACAAAAAGCGGCCGCGGAGCTAAGTAGCTCGCGCGAGCGGTGCGCCCGCTTTTTGCGCTCGCCGCGTCAATGGGCCTGAATGGAGGAGGGCCTCGGCAAAAAGCGCCGCGTGTCGCCATCAGTATGTGCGCCGGCGTACGAATGCGAGCATCGATTTATTGGCGAATATCGCATTGAATAATGCACGCGGGCGTTCCGAGCAGCGACGAGCACGCGACCGCTTCCTGCCGCCCATTCATGCGGTCGGTTGCGAGGCCGCGAAATATATCGGACGGCAATTAATCTAAATTTACAATAGCATCCGCTTCTTTCGCTTTCGACTCGACGGAGTCCCGCAACGCCGAGAACCGGGATTCAGTCTCGCGGCCGTTTCTTCTTCATATATATCCCGCGTCATTAATTATTTATCGCTGACACAACAATTATTACCGATCTTATCTTTAATTTCAGCTCGCAATGGGATTACTAATTAAAATTCGATGTATCAATACAAAACGTATACTCGCTTGTATCGTGTTGTGCGCTATACTTTGTTTTTGCCCGCGGCGGGGACTAGTTTTGCGAGTCAATAGCAATGGATCTTTTTGTTTTATTTATAACAGACCGCTAAAGAAATAGGTGTACGGATTGTAACAATCGAAAAATAAAATTATCTTACATTCGTAAACAAAAATGTGACTTAAGCACAATGTAAATTATGTTGGTTACTGCACACTTTGTATTTGTACACAGAACCGTACCATATAGTGTTGCTAAACATTGCTTAAACTGTAGTAAAAACATATACCTTGAGAAATTAGGAACTAACACGAAAATCCGGAACAGTATAATTTTTGGAGCTCGCAAACACTGTCCCTTGTGAAAATCAAACCAATGACCCCAGCGCCGCCGAGTCGTACCTAAATAATATAAAACGTGCGAATCGCACTCGTGTACGAAGGGTACCGTACCATTATCTATAAAAACGGCACAAAATCATGTCTGTTGTATGGAATTAAATATTTTTTATGTTGTTTTTTCATATTTATTGTTATAGAACAGAAATACATCATGTCTAACTATCACGGTTCATAAGATACAGCCTGGTGACAGACGCACAGATAGACAGATCTTAGTAATAGGGTCCCCTTTTAGCCTTAGGGTACGGAACCCTAAAAAGAAATTGAAAAAAGAATCGCCCCACCTGGTGGTAGTAACGTGGTGACCAATTGCTAGTGGTAAACATGCTTACTCAGTAGAAATCGATCACTGTTCGTTCGATGTCACCCGCATTGAATTAATATAAGACGAACGAAGGTGTAGGTACCTTGTTCTAATTATAAACGATAAGATAATTTTCTTAGCTCGAAAGGAATGTAATTAACAAAATAGTGAAAGGGGTGGCAATCAACTCATACACTTCGTGATTCAACCCTGGATTCAAAACCTTGAATTCAAGAAATCATAATAACAAGAGGTTACTAGATGTGTACATTATTATAGAACTCACTAAAGTAAGTAAGTATAAGTTTATTTTTTATATATATATGTTAGCATATACAAAAATACATGTATAAAACATAAACTTATACACACACATACACTAAATTTACATATATTTTTATTATTATTTATATTTATACTAGAAGTCAGAAGAAAAAACATTTGGAAAATCTTTGTTTACAAATGAATACAGTACCAGCCGCAATTAATGTCTTAATTATCATTTTAAGTCGATTTAATATAAAAGAAACAAAAAGCAACGAGCATTAGCATAAACAGCGTGCGACGATGAGCTTCGAAATGCTGATATAATCTAAATACTTTAAACCGCAAAATTAAAATGAAATTTATGTGGGCGCAATGTGGTATTAATTAAAATGCTCGGCGTTCTCTTGGCAAGCAGCGAACATACCGCAATCTGTCACTGGCATTTGAGCAAGCCTTTGATAAAAGCTCTGGTGTTCTCGAAATATGCGCATTAAAAATATCAGTCAGAATTATGTTCAGGTATTGAGGCTTAATGAGATTTTTATTGACTTTCCTTACTTAAAAAGGTTATTTTGCTAAAGAGATATAAGTATGTAATCGTCAGTTCATTGGGAACAAGAACACTTGGCTGAAAACTTTTCTTTATATAGAAATCATAACTATCATTAAGCTAATACTGTGTCTACAGCGATAGTGCATTCAAATCTTAAGCGTTTTCGTGTGCAGAACACCAATTCTTAATAAAAATTAAAATGTTTATTCACAGTAACCTTATGACATGATGTATAAGATATTGTTAGTAAAGTATCGGTATATTTATAGGCCATACTGCCGCTCTGCACAGAGGGTATCAGGTCGTATACCCTCCCATAATCGTGGAATCATTTCCCGAATGGACGAAGCACTTCGCGATCCTTAAAGCTCAGTCAGGACATAACCCTAACACTTGTACAATCGGGAAGTGCATGCGATTCCGCCTGCAGACTGGACCCGAATTTCGGATGATCCAGTACCACCTCACGGAGTAGAGCCAAAAATCGCATCTTTGTGTTATTTGTTACTCACTCACCGTAGAACTGTCTGCTAAGGTGGGGATCAGAGGACTTTCGTTTGTCGTAGCCTTTCAGGCTATAGGTTTCCCGACTACATATCCGAAGTATATTCCACTCAAAAGGAATAAGCCTGCTCCACCTCAAGTTTGACCGTGTCAATAAGAAAAACCTCAATTGGCTATATGTGGTAACCGTAATACTCAACATGCCAGGCAGTGTCATCGATGCCAAGTGCTCCAACAAATGCCATCGCCTAGTAAGAAGCGTCCTGTCCGTCACGTGGCTGTATCGGCGAACGCCACCTATCTGAGTATCCCAACAAAGCCAACAGCAGCCTAGATGTGCTGACTACGCCAAAGCCCATGCGGATGATGATAGGAGATGTGCCGTTTTACAAAGAGTTTCAGCGCGGAGTGGGTTTAAAATGTCCTGTCACTTCGAGTGTGAGTTAGCGACAAACAGACGAGAAAAGAGACGCTCGACTGCGCTGGAAGAATTTCGGAATTTGTGGTCGAATAATTAGTTGTATAATATTTAATTTTTTTAAGAAAAATGAATGACAAAAAAGAGGACACATACGGAGTTTCTTCTGCCTGTTTCTTTTCCGCTAGAGGAACCTCATTACGAAACGGTGGTAGATTAAAAAAAAAATATATGACTATCGCTACATGAAATGTAAGTTTCTCATGTCGATATCTCATTTTTTTTTCAGAATCAGAATCAGATCAGAATCTTATTCAGAAAAAAATATCGTTTACTTTTCTTCAGACAAACTGCAAATATACAGGTTTATACTTTATCTTTCCATACAAAAATAATCTACTTTGACTAATATGAGACGCGCTTCATACTTAAGGCGTGTAAACATATCGACAAACTTGTTTTAGTGCGCGTTATAAAATAACAAAATTAATGGTGTAAACAATGTAATACTGCAAATTTATTAGCAATTCATACGTAAATTGAGTGTATTGCGATGAACGCTTGTAAGTACTCTCCAGAAGTTATTAATATTTATTCTTTTTTAACTATTCATTGGATCTTTTCACATTAATCTTTCTTCATCATCATCATTTCAGCCTGTTTGAGTCCACTGCCGAACATAGGCCTGCCATGAAGTACGATCCTGAGCCTCCTGCATCCACCGACTTCCCGCACATTTGCACAGGTCGTCACTCCATCCAGTGGGGGATCGTCCCATACTGCGATGGCCAGTACGTGGCTGCCACTCGAGAACCTTTCTTCCCCAACGGTTATCGGTTCTACGAGCTATATGGCCGGCCCATCGCCACTTTACCTTGCTAATCCTCTGAGCTATGTCGGTTACCTTGGTTCTACTGCGGATGTCTTCGTTACGAATTCTATCACGCAGAGAAATACCGAGCATAGCCCGCTCCATAGCTCGCTGAGCGACTTTGAGCTTCCTCATATGGCCAGCAGTGAAGGACCACGTCTCGGTAGGTCATCACTGGCAACACACATTGATTGAAGACTTTAGTCTTCAAACATTGAGGTATATTTGCCGTAGTTTCGCGAACGCTGCCCATCCGAGTTGGATTCGCCGATTGAAATCTGCGTTGTTGGACTTACCTAGCCGGACTGACATCACCCTGTCTTACACCCTTCTGTAGTTGGATAGGTTTTGTACTACTGGACTGTACTTGGACGGACATCGTAGCCTTGTTATACAAACACCTCAGCACTTCGATATACCTACAGTCAATTTGGCACCGCTGAAGAGCCTGGAGTACCCCCCAACTTTCGGAATCCAGCTTGTTCGGGAGGCTGGAAGTCGTCGAGTCAGGAAGCGAGACGATTCAAGATGACTCTTGAGAACAGCACAGCACAGCATAGACGCGGCTCAAAAGGGATATCGGTCTATAGTTCATCAAGAGAGCGTTATCGCCTTTCTTGAAGAACAGCACCACCACACTTCTGCTCCACGCCTCTGGTGTAGCCTCTGTCGTTACTCACACATGTGTGTGGCTCCAACGACGATGTGTACAGCTGTCCATAGAACCTCTCTATCTCACTCAAAACCTCTGGTCTACTGGAGATGATAGCGCCGCTGTCAGTCTTCAACTTAGTCAGTTGGCTTTGTCCGATACACAGATTTCTGGCGAAGACTTTTGAGCCTAGGTACCGCTCTATAGCTCCCTCAATACGAGCTGTATTGAAGTTGCGTAAGTCACGCCGCATGTATTTGGAGATCTGCCTATTAAGCCGCCTGTAGTCCGACATGTCAGTTAAAGACTGCAACCGCATCTCACGTCTTTTTCCCAAGAGGTTGAGTGGTTCTATTTTTGCGGCGGCCTTATAAAATTTAAAGCCCGCGGTATGGACAGTTTCCACGAGCTTTGGTTTAATATCGTCCACCGTGCTGCAATTTTCTAGGCATTGGAAACGATTATGTAGCTCAAGCTGGAAGCTTTCGGAGTTCTGGATATGGGCACGAGATGGTCGGAGTGTGGACTTCATCAGACGAGATCTTTCCAGCCTAATGTTAATATTCAATGTGCCTCCCACTCGGTGATCACTGATGAAGTATCGGTGA